AGTGAAGCCAAATAAATGATAGATCGGCCTGCCATACAGCGAGCTCCTGATCCGCTGCTGCTGCGCTCTCATCTTCATCATCATCTTCATCAGAGCAGAAGCCAACATTAGCAAGATGGATTTATGACTGAACGAACGTCCACATATTTTTTTCATCTCTGCGGGTAACAATACATAAAAAAAAAACATTTTTTCCTCCTAAAACACGAGTGTGAAAAAAGCTACAGTTGTTAAACCTTCTCTCTGCATGACGTGCAGCAGGAAGGAGGAAGGAACTTGTGATCCTGCGACACGATGGCAAGATGTAACTTTTCTACAGCGGGAGGGGGACATTTTGACGATTTATTCTCTCTTTACGTGTTTTAAAACGCCATATTTCTTCATTTATTTTCAGAATATTTTGAATAAATGACCCTATAAAAAAATAAAAGAAATTGTTTACCTGCCCGGTCGGGCAGGCATTCGGACACACCCACCTGCCTGACAATGGGTTTTACCTGCCCCGGGCAGTCGGGCAATAGGATTTGTCAAACCCTACTTCCAGGTAATACATAGTGTTTTCAGTTTACAGATATGTTTATATTTTTCCTTTTTATTTAGAAATGTGACCTGGAACAGCTTGGCTATCCCTGACACACATTGCTCAAAAGAAGGAGAGGGCTACCAGTGTCCTCATGGCTTCAAATGTGTGAATCTCCAAGATTATGGACTTAGCCGACAAGAGCTTGGTTACAGTGGATTCAATGAACTAGGTAGATATATTTTATTAATTTTTGGATTAAAGTTAAACACACTCACAAACATGCATATTTGTATGTTTCTTTCTGAAAACATACAAGCCCAATTTCATACAAAAGCCTCACCAACACCCACTCAAAAATGCATTGCTATTAAGTGTGGTGCAAAATAATTAAATAGATTTATTTTTAATCCACATATGTTCTGTTGACACAAATCTATAAACCAGTCTTTGCTGGAAGTGATGGTTCACATGTGTTGACGCCGGGTTCTGTGCAAAGTTTATGAGTAAATAATATCTTACCTGTTGCAGATAGCTCTTTGACTGACCTTGGTCTGAAGAGATAGTTTAAGTCTTAGTGGCCTTCCAAGCTAACAACCAGTTAGAGCGGGACTAAAACCAAAGTGGATTGTTGCCTTCTTAAAACAACTTTGATTTAGAAACAAATCATTCCAGTTCATACAAATGCTATTTTAAAGACCTTTCCTTTGTTGTCAGTTTTGCATTACGCAGTTATTTACACACAGTGTTATGGTTATTTGCTAGTGCTAGTATGAGTAGCTGTATCATTTTTAATACAGCATGATGCATTTACAGCAAGAATATCAGACTATTTTTGCTGGAGTATCTGTGTATTGAAATAGACAAACAGACTTCTGTTTATTATCATCTCCCAAACATAACTACACATGTAAATTACAGCTCAACTTTTTCGTTGGTTGTCCATTGTTGGCATTACAATGTTACTGACACAAACGGATTTTCTTTTTGTTCAAATTCAATTAAAGTTTCAAGCAAAACGAACTGGTCACATACAGTAGTGTAAAGATACAGTGGTCATGAGATTATTCACATAGAATCAGGATCAGTTGGTGGAAACAACAGCATCTCTGCAGCAACTCACACTTAGTTAACACTCATACCAYGCTGTATCATTAAATGCGATGGAGTCAAGCAACATCCAGTACATTGACATTATGTAAAGTGAAAAACAAAGTGTAATATTCACATATGTCACTTTAACAAATAAAAGACTTATATTAATACTGGGTTCAGTTACAGTCTATCTTTTGTATGATTTTATTTATCTTTTTTTATTTGATCTTTTGTTTAGGTTCAAGTATCTTCACTGTGTATGAGGCTGCATCACAAGAGGGTTGGGTTTTTCTCATGTACAGAGCCATTGACAGTTTCCCCCGATGGCGATCCTACTTCTACTTTATAACTCTCATTTTCTTCCTGGCATGGCTTGTCAAGGTTAGCACCTTTCTTTTTCTCCCTGCTGCTTTGTTTATAATTATCTGGAGTAGTTAATGTTCAGTAGGTTCAGGTTAAATGACATGACATAATATTTAAACTACAGGCATGATGACTTTCCCTTATTAGGGGAATGTTCTTTGCCTAATTAGCAAATGACTGTCATCTCACAGATAGTGGAGAGAAGTCGAGCAATGGACTTGCTCGGTCATTTTACTTTGAATTGTCACAACATATCTCAGTTTCACTCTGTCTTTTTCCTCTGCAGAATGTGTTCATTGCCGTCATCATTGAGACTTTTGCTGAAATCAGAGTTCAGTTTCAGCAGATGTGGGGATCAAGGAGCAGTACCACTTCAACTGCTACAACACAGGTATAAATATCATATTCAGTCAAATGTTGGTATCTTGCTTGTCTTAAATTTTGTATGATACATTATATAAAAACAAAAAATGTGATTAAAATATAATTTTTGAATATTGCAATGACAATAATAGTTGAAGTTGACCCACATTCTCCCTCCTCCTTTATTTCTGTTCTGTCATATTGACAATAACAACACTTCCCATGTCTGTTAGCATCTTAGCCACCATTAGCACTGCATAATATATCAAAACKTTTTTGTCTTTACTACATGTGTGCACAATATAATTTTTTAAAGAACTGCAATTGATCACAGAAACAAGCTGAATGTTTATAATTACATGTTTCAATGGTATATAACATTTGGCTAATTGAATAGTTCAATAAAGGCCAGAATACAAATTTTTGGATGAAAAAAATATCTGGGTACAACTTTTTATGTACAGATTATAAATATAATTGACCAGATGACAACATGTGACATATGGCTTTTGGTGTAACACCAAAAGCAGAAGTATATCTGCTCTCTTGTTAAAAAGCATCAAGCAGAAAATTCAACTGGCACTTTCTCATTGTTTTCGCTGGCAGAAACCATTTTGGTCACAAATTAAAATGACAAATGCCACTTGAGCCAAATCAGATCTGCTGCCTCTGAGACTGATTCAGTAAATATATGTAGTGGTTGGCATGTGTCTGTGTGCTTAACAACCACATTTTTTTTACTTTGCCAAGAACTACTAAATGAGATTAAATAAACACCACACAAATATGATTGCTTTGCACATTAAAATTGCTCTAAATAAAAAACCAAGGTGTAAAAATTTAAATAAAGCAAAATGAAAAACTTAAATTAAGCTCAATTAGCCCTTTTGTCATTATAACATTTACATATAATCACTTTATAACTCAATTTCTGTCTTACAGAGAGGAATAACTAATTAGTCCTGTCACTGTAACAAAGGCTAAAACAAAATAAAMCTTTCTTTAGTCTCCTTAGAGGGAAGGACTAGAGAGTCCTGGAAGACAAAACCTATGCATYGCCATCCCATGTTTGTGACAAATTCTCTTTAGATTTATTTGATGGTTTAATAGGTATCATGGTACAAGCCTTACGACCTTTCTCTGAAAAGAGACAGGTCAGCTTTTGTTTTTGTCTATCAAGGTTTTATGTGTGTTCTAATGAGTTTTAATTAAGAGGCAATCTGCCTTTTGTAGACTTCTCAGTGTATTGGACAATAAACTCATGGATAGTCTTGTCTTTGTTAAGCTTGTTTTATACTTTGAGTCGCACGTCTTGTTCCACCATGCTGAGTGACAAAAAATCTGACGTCTTTTTCCTGACCAAGTATAAACGGGCTGAAGACGTGGCAGGCCATAAATTATCAAAATTCCTCCCTCTGCACTCCCACAGCTCATAAAAGTAGGAACAACAACATAATGAAGACTAGATATTGAGTTTTTTCACTGAACAACTGATTGTTCAGTGAAAAAGACTGTTGTGTTGGGTGGAGAGTCTGTGGAGAAAAAAAACTTATTTTTTTATTTTTTAACAGTGGTGATGGCAAAAAAGACATGAATATCAGGTGATGCTCACATTCAATAGGATCAAACCTGCAGTCTGGGGAGTTTCAAGTGAACTCAGCCTTATAAACACTGCCTCCACATGGTGGACAAACAGGTCTGTTCACATGCAAAAGAGGGCTATCAGCCAAACAATAAATTGTTAATGCCTAGATTAACTCTGTTCTTTGTAGAGGGTCATGTGTACCATCACCTTACCATCGTTGGGGCCCTGATTCACACCTATTGCTCAGATAGGGTTGGGTATTGAAAGGGTTTATTTCGATACCGGTGCCAAATTGATACTTTCAAAACGGTACCGGTTCCTAAACGGTATTTAAATTGGTACTTTAAAAATAAATATATAAAACACTCACACAGAGGTTTATGAAGCAATAACTATTTCTGAGTCAAAGTCAAACTTGAAATTGACCAATTTATTAACTTAAAACCATTAATAATTTGTCTTTGCACCAAATATTCTTAAAGCATTTTCACTAGCAAGGACCACACCATGGTAAGAGTTTTACAATTTTTATTGAAGGAAAGGGGTCAAAGGGTAGTGGGGATGAAGGAAGGGGTCGAAGGGTAGTGGGGATGAAGGAAGGGGTCGAGGGGTAGTGGGATGAAGGAAGGGGTCGAAGGGTAGTGGGATGAATGATGAGGCTTCTGGGGACGTACGTCGAAGGAGGCTTGAGGAGAAGACACAGAGTGGGGCATAGTCTCAAGGAAGGATGCTTTCCTGAGCCTGCTTTGGACCCCCAAAAGTATCAGGGATGAAATGCCCCGAGTCGAGAGTGCGCATGATAAAGTTCGAGGGGATGATCGCGGATGTAAGTGCGGTATGCTTGGGACAACCAGCGACCTAGGATCGAAATAACGTGGTCGGGGATCCCTTAATAGGATGCTGAAGAGGCAGCTCCTATGCGAAAGGAGTGGATGGAATAAAGGGCTGGAGAGATGCCTGATTTGCTCAGGACTTGATGGAAGTGTTTGGCGAACCAGAAACGGGTGGCCTGGCAGCCGGATTCTGTAATGAACAGAGGGTCGAGGGGAGAAGCGTTAGCTCTAATGCGAGTTTGCACATAATGGGCGAGAGGTTCGTAGGGGCTGAGAAAGGAGCTGAGACGAAAGATGTRAATAGGAAAAGAAGTTCCGAGCTGGTCGGTTTTACTTTTCCTGAGGTTGTAAATCAGGGTGTCCTGACTGAGGAAAGAAATGTCTGAGAGACACGGGTGGATGGAAGGGTCGTGTTTGGAGGCAGAAGGGGCGAATTTGGAGCAGCAAAGGAAACCGAAGAAAGCCAACAGAAACATGCATTGTAGTGTAAGGTCTACGAACGGAGACGTATGGCCGGTGCGCAGGGTGAGGATGCATCATGTGAGGAGATCGGTGGTGAGCAGAGGATGGCGTGGGAGTGAAGGGGGCTCCAGTTTTTTTGTCCTTTGAGCAGCATGGCTACGTAGCTGTGGCTAAGGCCTGGACAGGAGTTGCCTGTGGCCAGCTTAAAGAAAAAAAATTGATACCTGAAAGGTAGGTTCGGATGGTGGAAATTTGAATTTGAAGAATGGAATGTGAATGGGTGATGAAATGATAGATGGACATGGTATGGAGAGTGGGAAAAGGTAACTGCAGGTTACCTTTTTTTTTACCTTACGTGGTATGATTTGAAGCTGAGCCAGCCTGTCAGATATACCGAAAGGGTGCGAGGGGCGAGGCTGTTGAGGATGGCTTGTTGTGAAACGTGGGAGAGGCTGGCAAGCTGTGGAGTCAGTTGAAGATTGTGGCTGAAAACGGAGGGACCGGTGTCGGATGAGGGTCTGCTGTAGGTGCCAATGCCCTGAATTTCTGGAAGGAGAAACGAGAGAGCGCATCAGCAATGCAGTTATGATAGCCTGGAACGTGAGCTGCCCTGAGCAGAAACTGATGTTGAGCTGAAACTAGTGTAAGTCTGCGCATGAGTTGCATGATGGCTAAGGAATGAGAATGACCTTTGTTAAATATTTTGACTACAGCTGTGTTATCGGAATGGATGAGGATGGAGTGCTGGGACCATCCGTGCCCCCAAAGGAGAGCTGCGATGACAATGGGATACAGCTCATACAAAGCAGAAGAGGGAGAGGCCGAATCTGGTTGCAGGGAGTCAACCTCCTGGGGGCCAAGTGGAGGCAAACCATCTGCCTTTGTGAAAGCCGCCGAACCCAATGGAGGGGGCGGCATCTGTGTAGAGCTGAATGTCATCTGGATGGGAGATGAAATCATTGCAAAAGAAAGAGATGCCGTTCCAGGAAGACAGAAAATGGTGCCAGAGCTTCTTTTCCATCCTGCAGGCATCGTCAAGGGTAAGACGGCCATGGAGTGATGGGACGCTGGCAGCGGTGGATAAAAGATGGGAAATGAAAGATTTCCCCTGGGGGATGATGTGGATGGCATAATTTAGGTGGCCGAGAAGAGACAACAGCTGATGTTTGGTGCAGGAATCTATGAGCATGAAGTTAGAGAGGATCAGGGTGATGCGATTTGCCTTCTCGGGAGGTAGGGAAGCATGAAAGGAGGAGGAGTCTAGGGTGATGCATAAAAACTCCAATGAAGTAAGAAGACCGATTGTCTTTTCTTCRGAAAGAGGAAYGCCTAGATCTGAAAAGGCATGGGTGAGAGCACAGAGCCCTGAGCAAGGTGAAGTGGAGGGAGGGGTGATGATAAGAAAGTCATCCAGAAGGTGGATAATGTAAGGGAGCCTGAAATTATTAAGAAGGATCCAGCAAAGAGCTTTGGACAGTGAATCAAAAATCTTGGAGCTACTTCGGCAGCCRAAGGTGAGCTGAACTGCAAAGTAGTAAGTGCCCTTCCAATACACGCCAAAAAAGCGCCAGAAGTCTGGGTGAATGGGTAAGACCTTGAAAGCACTAGTAATGTCTGCCTTTGAGAGCCAGGCTCCCCTGCACGCCAGACGAATGAGGCGGATGGTGTGGTCGACTGTAGCGTATTGCTTGGAAAAGTCTGAGAAAGGGATAAGACTATTAATGCTAGGTACGTGGGACCCGTGAGGGGTGGACAAGTCAATGATCAGCCTCTTCTTGCCTGAGTATTTTCGGGTGGCAATGCCAATGGGGCTGACACAAAAGAAGGAGAAGTGGGGCTGGCTGAAGGGACCAATCATGAATCGGTCCTGGACTTCTTTAGCTAAGGGGGCATCGACGATGTCTGGCTCAGAGAAGGCGGACTGAAGGTTGCCGCAGTGGGTGGTGCGATCTGGGAGGGTTACTAGACCCGGGTGAAAACCAAAAGTGAAGCCATGAATAAGAAACTCGACGAAATCCCGATCAGGATGTTGTTTTAAGGCGGAGAGTAGAGCGCTGAACTTAATGAGCGTGGCCAGGTGGCGTGCTAGTCAGGTGGGGTTGTGGGGACAGGAGGACCGGGTGTGAGCGCTGCCGCAGAAGGAGCAGG